ATGCCCTTGTTTCTTCCCAGACTCTGGTTTTGGCTCACGCAGGGCAACATCGCTTCCTGGTCCAGCTCTGACTCTGCTGCTGCGTCCCCCTCGGCCATTCTGCCCCTGTACTCAGGGGCCCGAGGAACACAGTGAAGCTCTCTGACGCTGCTCACTGCTTCCCAGAGCCTTTCCGGAGCACACGTAACCTGCACCAGGGCAGCCGTTTCCTCCAGAGGACGACTCAGAGCTCGGGGCAGTGTGCCGGGCAGACCCCTGCATGGGGGGAGCGCCTGGGTCTGTATCTCCTGTGCCACTGGCCGGAGGACTGTTGTGACCCCAGGAGAATGCTGTGTTTGAATGCATCCCCCAAAGCTTGTGTGTCGGGAACTTAATCCCCGATGCAGATGCTGATGGCATTTGGAGTGGAGACTTGAGAAGTGACTAGGGTTAGGGGAGGTCATGAGGGTGGGGCCCTGTGATGGCATTAGTGGCTTCATAAGCGGAGGAGAGAGATGAGCTGGCTGACTTGCTGTCTCATCAGTACCCTGTGCCATGTTGCTACCCACAGGGAGGCCCTCACTGGACACCAGAGCCTTGATCTTGGACTCCCCAGCCTCTAGGACTGTGAGCAAGGAACTTCTTTTCTTTATACATCCCCCCACCTGTGGTATGCTGTTACAGTAACCGAAAATGGACGAAGTCAGAGATCCTGGGGCAGGAAGAATGATCTCCTCTCCAAGAGGCATGCCGGGACTCAGGGTCATTTAAGTTTAACACAGAAACTTTTGGAATCCAAAGGGGGCGTTCCCCTTCACTTTGTGTTTGAGTGTCATTTTCTGAGACTGCTGTATAAATGTGCGTATAAATGTATCAGACGCAGGTCTGATATGGGTGGATGTAGATTCAGACAGTTGTAGCTACAGGTGTAGGTGAGGTATGGATGTGGGCATCCATGTATCTGAATATGGATTTAAAAGCACAGACCCGGCTGGGATGGTGGTGTGTGCATATAATAGGGAGGCTGAGGGAGAAGGATAAGTTCGAGGCCAGCCTCCGCAACTTAGCAAGACCTTGTCTCCAAACAAAAAATAAAAAGGTTTGGGGATGTAGCTCAGTGGTAGAGTGCTTGTCTGACATGTGGGAGGCCTTGGGTTTGATCTCTAGTATTGCAAAAAGCAATAAACAGAGACGAGACCCAGATTTGGAAGCAGCCGTGAATGTCATTGTGCAGGCTGTGTGGCTCGTTGACTTTCTGTTATCACGAGCCATTGTTTTCTGAAACAAGCGCATCTCTGCCCACTCACTCCTGGTAACCACCCCTGTTCTCTGCAGGCCCATCCTTCCCATTTCTTGTCCAGCTCTCCTGCCTGACGCAGGATAGGTTGGGGTGGCCCAGCTGGTCTGAGCCTCCCACTCTGAGCTCCATTGCGCCTTTCTCAGTGAGCAGGCGTGAAAGGGAGCTCAGCGCAGGTCCCTAACTCAGTGCAGATTTCAGAATTTTCCCAAGAGCCACAAGACTCCCTCCTTCCTGGCAGGTTTGGGCTGAGGGAGGTTTTCCTACATCCATGATCGGGGATCATCGCGGAACTGGTCAAATGTTTGCACGATGACAATTCGGGGACAAGAAATACGGGCTTTTGATTCCATTTGATCTGAGGATTTTGGAACTTGCCTGGAGTTGGCGGCAGGGTGGAACCACTCAGGGTTATCCCTCCTCATTTCCTTCTTCCCAGTTTTCCTAAGGAAAGGGGGACGGAGCTGTCAAGGGTCTCCTTGCTGTGGGTGGGGCTCTGGATGCTGAAGGTTGATCCTGAGCCAGTGGCGGAGGAAGACCCAGGGTGAGAGGGAGTGAGGGGGAAGCAATCCCCTTGTGTCTAGGTGGCTTCACAGAGGTGAGGGCATGAGGTTGGGCTTGGGGGGACAGAGGATTGGGCATAGGGGATGTCGGGTTGGGCGTGGGCGGACATCGGGTTGGACAGAGAAGACGCACATTTTTGGTGCTCGGTGGGCAGGGGATTAAATGAAACACTGCTGTCGTGTCCTGATGGGTCCCAGGGCTCTGCCTGCATCTGGGCCACCGTCCTTAGCCCCTCCCATGACCACACAGCTTCTCAGAGGCCTCACTTGCCAGTTCACTGGAATGTCCTGCTCGCTGCCTAACTCTTCCTTAGACCTGCCCCAGCATGATCTCCTCCAGACGGTGCTTCTCGGATTCCAGAGTGCCTGTGACCCAGCTGGGGACTGGTGAAAATTCAGGTTCTCTCCAGCAGGTGAGGGTGGAGTGGAGCAGGCAGATGCCAAGGCCCCTGGGCGGCTCCCCAGCCTCCCCCGTGGGGCTGGCCCTGGGGCAGGGTCACTGCCTGCCTGTGCAGATTTGGACAGCTCCTCCCCAAGGGTCTATTCCCCTCCCCCTCTCATTGTGAGAGCAGTATGCTCCCCCACCCTGTCCATGTTGGGCTTGGCTATGGGGACTTGCACTGACCAATGTTTGTAGCATGACACGAGAGGGGACTTCAGTGTGAGTACTCTCTTGTGCCTCATCATGGCTGTGAAAACAGGCTCTGGGTAGCTGCTGGTCCCCAAGGATTGAAAGACAAGTGGAGCAGAGTCACCTCAGTCCGTACAGTCCTTCAGCCCAGCAGCTTGAAGCAGAGCTGCCTGAGTATGATAATGACCACTTGTTCTGTGCCTGTGAGTTGGGGATGGTTTGTTATGCAGCAATAGCTGACTGATACAGTATTTTCCTCTGGGATCTCATTACCCATCTGCATGTGCCCCACTATCACAGTTACTAAGGGACACTAAATAGCCTGTTTACCTCTCTAAAATCTTTCTAAATTATAGTTCAGAGTGGGCAGACGTTACAGTCCTCCCTTACTTAGCCTTGGGGACACCTTCTGAGAAATGCATGGGTAAGTGACTTAATCATCGTGTGAACATCGTAGACTTCACACACACAAACGTAGGATGGTGTAGGTCAGTCACTTGATGTGGACTCTTGATGGATCAGGAGCCCCTGAAAACCTGAGACTCATGAGGCTACCACAGGCATAACACTGCACTTGATGATTTACTAAACATGTTTGCTGACCTTTGGTTTATGTCACAATGACAAGAGTCTTGTGGCCAGGTGTGGTGGTGCATACCTGTCATTCCGGCAACCAGGGAGGCTGAAACAGGAGGATGGAAAGGGGGAGGCCAGCCTTGGCTAAGGTGAGACCCTGTCTCAAAATAAAAAATACCAAAGGCCTGGACAGGTGCCCATCCACAGGTGAGTGGGTAAAGAAAATGTGTCTGTGTACACAGTGGAGCTTTAGTCAGCAATAAGGAGTGAGGTTGTGGCTTCGGCTGGTAAATGGATGGCACTCGAGAACAGGATGCTACGTGGAATAAGCCAGACTCAAGGTCAAGGGTCGAAGGTTTTCTCTCCTGTGCGGAAGCTAGACTCAAATAAGGAAGCAGGGTGGGGGCATAGTGTGAAAATAGAAGGGAGACGGGTGGAGTGGCGGAGGGGATGGGGGTGAGGGAGGAGGGACGGGAAAGGGAAAATGGTAGATGAAGTTGGCCACTGTATGCAATGTCCACAGATGAATATACCACGGTGAATCTTACCTCTCTGTGTGTCTATGAAGCACTAGTTAAAAAACCATAAATAAATAGGATTAAACCAGTGGGGGGGGGGGAGAAGGAAGGCCAATAGGGTCAAGAGAAAAGGGACGGGGGAGGGGGGAGGGAGGGGGAGAGGCAGCAGGCTGTGAACCCCAATATCGAGGATGACCATAATGTATTAATAAAACATTTTAAAAAGGGCTGGGGATGTAACTCAGTGGTAGGGCGTCCCTGGGTTCAGTCCCCAGTACCAAAAAAAAAAGGAGAAAAAATCTGAGGGTGCATCACTTCTTCCCATTGACAGGGAGGACTGAGGACCACATGGCCGGTGACGTCCTCCTGATGGGCCCTGCGTCTGCCTCTGGAGCCCCTGGCCCGGGGCCCCTGGACCTTCAGCTGCCCCTTTCCCATGGTCGCGCTCCTCCTCCTCCTGGGGAGGATCTTTGAGAGTGAACCTGGGCGTCGGGGTGGAGTCTAGCCCTCGGTCTCCTGGGTGCAGAGGAATGGAGTGTTGCATTTTTTATGGCCAGGGAAACATTAATGAAGAATGCACCATCAGTGACATTAATTTCAGAGCTTTATGCATTCCTGGAGGCTAACAAGCCGCACCTGCTTGTTAGACACCCTCCGGAGGCTCCCCTCGCGCCCCCTTTCCGCTCTTTTAAAATTCTCCTCCTTCCCTGAGGGCACCTGGTTGGTGCTTTGAGCAGTTAAATCGATGTACGGAGGGACAGAGTCGTGGTTGTTAATTAAAACGCTGCTCTGCCACTTCAAAGTTACCGAGGGTTGAGCCGCCCGCCCGGCGGAAGGACGCTGGTTGGGTTTTATGTGCTGCCCAAAAGGCACCCTTGAAATGGGACGAGAGGGACACTGGGTCCCCCTCCGCCTCCCCCATCCCTTCACTGTCACGGGCTCCAGAATTTTTCTGTCCAAGCCTCTGACCCCGAATCTCCCCCTTATTTCCTGTGCCAGTGGATGGATGGAATCTCCAGGTCATCTTCTGGGTGAACCCTCCCCGGGGGCTGCTGTGAGAGCTGGAAGCCCACCTGTGGGGACTTGTTAGGAAAAGGCCTCAGGGAATCTGGCATTCGATCAGGGACCACAGGGCGCTCTGTGGACCTGGCTGCTACTTGCCCCAGCTTCAGCCTGCGCACCAAGGGGAGGGTCTGTGGACTTAGGGTTCACTCTTCCTCTTTCTAGAATTTGCATGACTTTTTCTTTAATAATAATAATAATAATAAAGCTCTCTCTGTTTTTCCTTTTGGGAGATGGAGTCTTGCTGGGTTGCACAGGCTGGTCTCCAACTTGTGGGCCCCAGGGATCCTTCTCCTCGGCCTCCCGAGAAGCTGGGACCGCAGGCGTGGGCCACTGCGCTTGGCCAAAAGCTCTTGGAAAAGTCGAGGCCCAACATGGACATGGTGAGGGGGCCTGCACCCACCTGAGTGCTGGATCTGTTCTGGGGGAAACCCAGAGGTGCGACTGTCACGTTTAATTTTTTTTCCATTTTTTATTGGTGCATGGTAGTAACGGGATTCGTTGTCACATATTCGCACACGCTCACACTATAGCAGTGGATTTGGCCATGCCACTCCCAGTTCCCTTCCCCCCCTCGTCCCTTCCCTCCCCCTCCCCCTGGGCCCTCCTCTGTTCTGTGACCTCTCTCTGGTTTTCACGAGATCCCCACCTTTATTTCCTTTTCCCTCCTGGCTTCCCCATATGGGGCAGACATATTACCTTTGATTTTCTGACTTTGGCGTATTTCACTTAACACAATGGTCTCAAGTGCCACCCATTTTGCTGTGAAGGACATAATTTCATTTTTCTTTGTGGCTGAATAAATCTCCTCTGTGGATACACGAAGCCAGATCTAGAGGCAGGCAGTTAGTGCAGCCAGGTAAATGTCCCATCTGGGCCCCTCAACCAGACCTACACCTGGGAGATTGGGACGTTCCTGTCCTTAAAGATGTTAGTGAAGCAGCTCCCAGCAAAGAGGGAGGTCGAATCAAATCTCCCGAGGCCCCTCCTGCCCTTTAAAAAGGTCTTATTAATCCATTATGGTCGTCCACGATATTGGGGTTCAGAGCCTGCTCCACTCAGGCCCCAGTGCTGCCTCTCCCCCTCCCTCCCCCTCCCCCGTCCCTTTCCTCTTTACCCTATTGGCCTTCCTTCTTGCCCTACTGGTTTAATCCTATTTATTTATGGCTTTTTTAAACTAGTGTTTTACAGACACCAGAGAGGTAAGATCCACCTGCTGTATCCATCTGTGGACACCTATGCACTGAAGGGACAGACTTCAGCCCAGCGCCTCTTCCCTGGCCCCCCAGCCTGGGTGTCCCCCACACCCCCTTATGTGTGTCCACCCTAGTCCTGATGGTGCTGAAAGTCACCCGTCCACACGTCACGGTGGCGCCTAGAGGACTTGGAGCCGCGGTGGCAGGGCTGTTTTGTTCGTGGCCGTGGTACCTGGTGCCCGCGGCTACGCCGTGTTTGGAGAGTGGCCCCCTCTTCTCAATGCCCATCACCACCCGGTTCATTCAGTCCCTTCACCACCTGCGGCCCTAAGGGCTGAAGTTCTTGAGTGGCAGCCTCGTCCCCAGCATGGGGCCCGTCCCTGTCCTCCCCCAGGCTGTTTGCGTGTGCGCTCAGTGCTGGGGTCAAAGAGGCTGCCCTTGAGGGCTTTGCTAAAAACCGTCTTTCTGTGAGCAGCGCTGTCCTGCTCACGTTGCCGGTCACCTCAGCCGCCACCGGGTTTCCAAGTTGAACACACACCTTGGCGTCCTAATGAACCGGACTGTGTCATAGGCTGGGAATTTGACAGGAGGGTGGATCCTAAGTGGCACACACACATATACACATGCGTGCGCGCACGCACACACACGCACATGAGATGCTCCGTGAGATGTCCACTTGCTCATCCAGGGTCGTTCATACTCCTGTTGCAGAGCAGCTAGTCACACCCCAGCCGTGGACACTGGCCTCTAGTTGTCTGTGAAGCTGAAACAGCAAGAAGAGCCCGGGGAGAGCCAGGCACGTCCCTTCCCCAGGGGTTTTGGAGCTCCCTGCTCCGGGGACCCACCCGGTCCCTGCTCTCTGTCCTCAGCTCCTCAGTCTGTCCCCGGGACTCCCCACTTGCTCTTCACCCTGCCCTCTGTTGTCCCCGTCACCCACGCTCTCTCTCCCTGGAGCCAGGCTGGTGGTCAGGGACACGGCTCCCCACCCTGTAAGCGGGCGTTTTCGGCTGTGCCCGTGGCTGTCCTGGGAGGCGCCCGGCTGCCCGCTCCTGGGCCGGGCTCTGCTCTGCTCTCCTCCTCCCGAGCGCAGCCCTGTGTCCACCTCTTGCCATTCGGGTTTCCACCCCAGACTCTGCTGTCTGCGGACCTCCTGGCTGCTCCTCCTTCACTGGTGACTCTGCCTGGCTCCCTGTTGTCCTTGCTGCCATTCATAGTGACGTTGACATCCACCCACCCAGGACCCCACCTGACACCAGTTAAATTGCAGTCTGTGACACGGAACCCGGGCGCTGACGTGGAGCACCTTGGGAGATCCTCACGTGTTGGGAGGGAGCGGGATCTGCCCACCGCTCGGCCTCTCAGTTCTCCGACCTCCCGAGCTCCAGTGTTTCTCTGGAGCCCATTTCAGGTGCCGGCCCCCTCGGCTGAGCCCAGAGTGTTGCCATCAACGGGGCCACCCCGTGGCTTCCTCCAGTTCATCCGCCTCCAGCCTCACGGAGCACCCGGCCCATCTCTGCCCTCTCCGTCACCAACCGCTCATCCTCATCTTCCTCCAGGGACCAGTGAACTCAAAACGAGCGCTGAGATCTGCTCACGGGGTACAGTGCCCGGCCGCGTGCTCCTGGGGATGCGCTGGCTTCGGGTGCCTGTTCTTTGCTCGGCTCCTGAATCTGCTCAGCTTCTTCCTCCCCCCGCAGGTCGCCACATACTCTATAGAGAAGCGAGATCAGGGCACACGCAAGAGCTGCCTCCTCTTCCACCGGCCGTGCCCGCCTGTGCCTGCCCCAGCACCCATCCCTGCTGTCCCCTCTACAGCAACAGGGAGGTGTCTGTGACCCGGCTGAGCCAGCCCCGATGCTGTGACACGTGTGCGTCGTGTAGCGTTCAGACAAGGCACACCTGCCCATCTCCTCAAGCAGCTTCATTTTTTTATGGTGAAACATTTAAAATCCTTTTTTCTCGATTAAAAAAACCACACACACCGTGTGACCGTCACCTGTAGTCGCCCTGCTGTGAAAGAACACACCGGAACTTCTTCCTCCCATCTAACTACCATCTAGTATCCATGTTAGTCGACATTTTTATTGTTGCTGTGACCAAAATACCTGACACAGGCAGCTTAAGAGGAGGCGAGGACGTTTTGGCTCCCAGCTTGGGTTTCCGTCTGTGGTCCGCGGGCTCCGTTCCTCTGGGCCTGAGGGAACACAGAGGAACATGGCGGACCCACTATTCCAGTTAGGTCCTATTTCCTTACCTTCTACCACTTCCCAATAATTCTGTGAAATTATTAATCTACTGAGGGTCCAGAGTTCTCATGGTCCAGTCCTATAAGCCTCCCTCTGAACACTGCTGCACTGGGGACCAAGCCTTCAACCCCTGAGTCTTCGGGGGCACTTCATGTCCAAACCATGCCAATACCCACTCATCAACCTCTCCCCATTTCTCCCTGCCCGCCCCTCTCCCCGGTCTCTGGTAGCCACCATTTGACTCTCAACTTCTTTAAGATCAACCCTTTGGAGTCCCCGTACAAGTGACATCATGAGGCGCTTGTCCTTCTGAGTCTGGATTATTCCATTTAACATGATGGCCTCTGGTTCCATCCGTGTGGCCGCATGTGACAGGACTTCATCTTTTGATGGCCGGAAAGTCCTCCCCTGAGCATACGTACCATGTTTTCTTTGTCCATCGGTCAGTTGGCGGACACCTGGACTCCAGAGCTCACGCTGGCTGGCCGTCTCCCGGGGTTTGTTTCCACAGCTGACCTTTCCACACCCGGTCTCTCCCCTCCTCTAGATGGTTCCCACGGGCATCAGTGTGGCCATCTCAGAGAGCATAAGGGACACTAGGTCCAATGGGCTTCTCTTGACTTCACGTCCATTGTCAGCACATGTCCCATTCGCGACTCTTTTTTCCCTCAGAAGGAGCGAGGGTCTCCGCCGTCTCCCCCCACGTCTCCCCCCGTCTTACAGTAGAGCAGTTCTGCTGTCCTGGGAAGATGAGGACGAGGGATCGCCACCGTGTCTCACGAGGACGTGCATTCGTGAAGGTCAATGGCCCCAGGGAGGTGTCAGGGTCCCCATGTCGACCTGCTCCTGACGCTGCCCGTGGAAGCCCACAGGCCCCAACCTGGACGTCACCTTTGATTTTCCTCTTTACCACCCCAAGTCCTTTTAGGTTTTCCCACCCAGAAGTCCATCTGCACGTCCTCACGTCTCACCACCTCTGTGGCTGCCACCGTGGCGTGAGCCACATTCTCGCGGGACTGTTGAAGTAGTCTGAAGTGTCCTGGCACGGAGTGAACAGTGGCTCTTGTCATCGTCGGCAGCCGCGTGACACTCAGGCTGCAGCAGACTTACAAGGGGAACAAAGAGGAGGGTTTCAAGACTGAACATGAACTCTGCGTCTTTCAATGGCTGTGTGGGGGGGCGGGAGGGGCCGCTCCAGGGCTTGGCAGGGGCTGGGGTCGTGGGGGTGCTGGTCCGTGGATCCGAGAAGTCTCCAACGGTTTTTGTTGTGGTCGGTCAGAGGCCACTGTCGGGGAGGGGGCTTTCCTAGTGTGCCCTGGTTTCTGTCGTGGTGGAGACCCCCTCTCTAGCCGTCACTACCTCCCGTGGGACCTGCAGGTAACCTGGGAAGACGGAGCCAGTTGGAAGTAATTTTGGAAATGTCGTTATCTTTGTGAAGTCGAGTCAGTTTTAGCAAACTGAACTTCCTGTGTATTTAACTAAAGGAGAACCTACATAAACCAGAGAACTCCACAAATTATATATAAACTACATGAACCAGAGAACCCCGTTGCATAGGAAAAGCAGATTTTTTTTCTCTGTGCTTGCCTCGAATCAGAACCTCGCTGTGACCAGAATCGGAGTCCCCACCCCCAACAGGATTCTCTAGTTCTCTGCAGACACTACCTGGGCGTCCCGGGGTGTGAGTAACTCCTGGCACCGTCCACCTGGAGCCAGCAACCGATGCCACAGGAGGGGGCTCCATCCAGAGGTGTGTGCCCTAAAGCAGGGGAGGGGCAGTGACCAAGTATTTTTGATTTCTTATTACGTCACACTCCTTATTTACTTATTTACTCTAATCAGTGATACACGACAGCAGAGTGCTCTTCAACTCACCGTACACAGACGGAGCACAATTTTCCACTTTGTGTCGCCCTCCTTTTCTCAGACTCGGGGAGCCTGAAGTCCGTGCTCTCAGGAGTCAAGCCTGAGACGTCTGCGCTCCCTCCTCCTCCTGGTGATCTCTCTCTCAAATGTTCAAACGTCGGCCGTTTCTTTGAGGACCTCAGGATGTCTAATCTTTGACATGCCACAGGGGATTCTAAGTCTTCATCTTGGCCACTGGAGGCACATGCAAGACGGGCCGAGGGGCTAGCAGGGAGGTGGTGAGATCCTTCTCTACGCTAGTGAAGACACGGAACAAAGCGTGTGGGCCGAAGCCCAGGGCGCGGATCCCATCGCTTAACACCCTGGCAGTGACTGGAACGTCACATGCTGGCCTGGAGCTGTGGGGGTCATTTCACAGTCTTGAAGTAGTAGCTGTTCTAATTTCCACTCAGGTGCCAACCTTCAAACATGGCGGGGAGGGACACGGGCCTAGTCCCCATCACAGGATTATGGGAAGAAGAAGGGATGGAGGAGGCAGGAGACTGGGGAAGGTCCAAGGACAGCCCCCTGGTGTCCGCCGTGGCCCCGGAGTGGTTCCTGCGGGGAGCACAGGCAGTGGGGTACCTGGCTGCTGTTCTTGGATGGTCCCTCTACAAGGTTCATCTTGTGTCTTAGACCCATGGGCTGCTGCAGCAAATGGCACCAACTGGGTGCTTAGAAACAACGGGAATTTGTTGCTCACGGTTCTGGAGGCCAGAGTCTGAGATCGGGCACCTGCAGATGGGGGGTGGTGGGGCCCCGCTGTCTGGCTCAGAGATGGCGTCTGCTACTGAGTCTGCACCTGGTGGAAGAGTCATGAGGGCACAGACCCTGTTCCTGGGGCTCCCCTCTCATGGCCCGATCAACTCCTAACACCAACTCTCGGGGCTGGGATTTGAACATGTGGGTTTTGGAGAGACGCAGATATTCACATCGGTGTCCCTGCATCCGGTCACTGCCACCACACCCCTCAATGTAGAGGGTCTGGAGGCAGAGCCATGGGTAGGGGGACCTCTGGAGACCCCGAGGGGTGAAACAGTATCATCTCTAGTGTTGGAGGCCCTTCCTGGAAGAGGGTCAGCCTGCTCTCTGAGGTGGGCAGGACCCCAGGGAGAAGGAGCGCGGCTGTGTGGCCGGGAACAGGCTCTGGAAACAGTCTGCACGAGTTCGAATCCCAGCATCACATGGACTAGCTGTGTCCTTGGGGCCTGTCCAAACTCTCTGGGCCTTACCTTCTTTGGCTGTAAAACGTGAAGATGACAAGAAGATCTAGGTCACGGCGCTGGTGTGAACCTGGAATGAGCTGGTCTAGAAGCAGCACATGATAAGCACCACGTAAACATGTCCTTCTGCTATTAAACCCTGAAAGAGGACAGACTCCCTTTCACCTGCAGGTCGAAACTTATCAGATGGCTAACCCTGGGAAAGTCCTTGAGCCTCAGTTTCCTCTTGCAAAAAGAGGAAACCATTATATGGTGTGCTGAGCTTGAAGTCACAAGGCAAATGAGAAAAATCAATCAGAGAGTGCATCGAGGGTCCTCAAGAAAGATCACCGAACACATGGAGGGACGGGTTCCAGAAATGTGTGCGAAGCGCGCGTTTCGGAATGGAAATGTCTTTCCAGGAGGATCTGTGCTCCCGAGGCTGGTGGTGTCCCCAGGCAGCCCCTCACATTCTGTTGTCTAAGGTTAGAACGTTTTCATCATGAAATATTTCAAACCTTTGGAAAAGTATGGGAAATAATATGACACCTCTGTATCCCCCCGTGGAGTTAGCAGATGTTAACATTTTGTCATATTTGCTTCGGATTCTCCTTACAGGAGGGAGGCGGGTTTCAGATGCCCCACGACAGAGCGGTGACTATTAAGGATGTAGCTGAATTCAGGTTCTGACAAGTCGCCCAGGACCAGGGGCGTCGAGGGGCTGGGGATACTGAGATGGCGATTCTCTGGCTTTTGTGAGCTCCTAGTCCAAGGGGGAGGCTGACTCCAGAGCAGACGATTATCCTGCATCGGAACATGCCGGGAGCTGCTCTGGACAGGAGCTGTGTCAGCCCAGTTCTCCGGGAGTGACCCTGACGGGTTTAGTCATGTGTCACGTGGGGGAAAAAGGGCCACAGCTGTGAAATACGCAGGAACAGGGAGCATGATGGGAAGGGAGGTCAGAGAAGGCTTCCTGGGGGAGGTGACATCTGAATTTACCTTGGAAAAAACAAAGTCGAGTTTTCACGGGGGTGGGGGGGGGGCAAGGGAGAAGTGAAGGCCGGGAGGCCCGAGCCGGCGTGTGAACCCGGAGGGTGACGTGCAGGTGGCTGTTATGGTGTGGATGTCAGTGTCCCCCAAAGCTCCGGTGTGAGACCGGGCAGGAAGGTTCAGAGGAGAAGTGATGGGGTTGTGAGAGTCTTCACCCAATCAGTGGTTTAGTCCCCTGAGAGGGATCGACTGAGGGGTGACTGGAGGGGTGGGCTTGGCTGGAGGGGGTGGGCACTGGCCGTGGCTGTGGGTACATATCTGTGTCTGGCCAGTGGAGTCTCCCTGCTCTCTGATCAGCAGTGAGCCATTTCCCTCTGCCACACTCTTCCTCCATGAGGAATTTCCTCTGCCACACTCTTCCTCTGCCATTTCCCTCTGCCACACTCTTCCTCCCTTGAGCCCTGAGGAATGGCGCCTGCTGTCTGTGGGTCGAGTCTCTGAAACCGTGAGCCCCCAAATAAACCTTTCTTCCTCTTCAGCTGTTCTGGTCAGGTCCTTTGTCACAGTGGCACAAGAGCTGGCAAAGACAGTGGCCCAGCGTCCGCCTGACTTTCTGAGCAGGGAGAGGTTGTCTGTTCCCTGTGGCTGCCACACGGATGGCCACCAACCGCGACTTGAAGCCGCTGAAGTTCATCACCTCACGGTTCTGGAGGCTGGGAATCTGAACAAGCTGTCGGCAGGCCACCCGCCGTCTGATGACACAGGGAAGGTCCTTCTCAGCTCCGACCCGGCTGCCTGTGGTGTCAGGGACCTTGGAGTTGCTGGGCTCTGTCGACGCGTCCCTTGGGTCCCTGCCTCCATGGTCACGGGGCTTCTTCCCGAGTGTCTCTGTGTCTCTCTCCTCCTCTCAGAAGGACAGCAGTCGTATCAGATGGAGGCCCACCCTCCTCTAGGGTGAACTCATCTTAATTTAACTAATCATATCTGCAAACGCCCCGTTTCCAAACAGGGGCACGTTCTGAGGTGCGGCAGATGTATGGCTTCACGTGTCCCCTGGGGGAGGCACAGTTCACCCCGTGAAGAGATGTTCTGTTTTCCCTCCGAGGACTGCCCTGCTCCACAGGCCGCACGGAAGACCTGGCCTTTCATTTCAGGTTTTCTTTCTTGGCAGAAAACTCTAGAAAGGAGCTGGGCTTTGGAGCAGATTTGAGAAGGGCACGGTTAGTTCCAATGACCTTTTCTGGGATCCCTGACATTGGGTTCATCTGTGATAGGACAAGCGATGGGCGACGATGGCGGCTGTGATAGAAATATCAGAGGAAGAGGATGTCACCGTAGCCCCCTAAGGGGGAAGAGGTGGACTCATCCCCTCATGGGAAGGACATGCTTTGTGCACAAAGCCAGAAGAGGAAGGTCTATTGGGTCACCTTGGGAGGCTGGCTTTCTGACTGGGGCGGAGTCCAGGGGTTGAGGCTGCAGGTTTGAAGGGGGCGCTGGGGCCCACAGGCTCTGGCCTTGGTCCTGAAACTGCATTCGGAGCCGGGACCCTGCAGGGGTCGCATGGTCTCCTGACTACTGGCTCCTGCTACCTCCCAGCCCACCGTCCAGACACTCAGGTCCAGGCGAAGAAGAGGCTGTCCCTGGAGGGCCCACTGGTGACAAAGCAATCCCAAAAGAGGGATAAATGACAAACACGCAGAAATCAGAGGAGAGGCATAGATGTCAGCTTTAAAATGATCACACTTTCAAGAAAAAAAATGAGCATTGATCACAGCCAAACTCTCAAGCAAAAGTGACAGAGTGAAAAATACACATTCTGAGTAATGAAAGTGGCACCAAGGCTTGGCACGGGCACGTCGGCTTAGGAGCCGGTGAGCCAGCCACGGCCAGAGTCTCCCTCGGCTGACGGGATCACAAGGTTCACGGCATCCCCTCAAAGTTATCTTTTCTTGTCTCTCTTGTTGAAGGAAAATGTGTCTTCTATAGTTTTTCATAACAAATAAAAATGTAACTTGTTTCATAAAAATGCCTAGAGCTGGTTTGTCATGTTTTTGATGGTTCTGTCACACTGTCCAGAGTTTCCGTGGAAAGGTGTGGTGCTATCATTTTCACAGGACTGAGTGGGCAGTCAGAGGGTCAGTTAAAAGCCACGCAACTGCCAGGCGCAGTGACACATGCCTGTAATCCCAGTGACTCAGGAGGCTGAGGCAGGAGGATCTTAAGTTTGAGGCCAGCCTAAGCAACTTTAGGGAGACGCTGTCTCAAAATAAAAAATAATAAGGGCTGGTGATGTGGCTCAGTATAAAGTGTCCCAGGTTCAATCCGCTCAAATAGTGCCTCGAGGAGCCAAGGAATTGTCCCTGAGATGTCCTCTCTGTGTGCTTGACATGTGTGTGCTTTTGCATGCGTGTACCTAGGTAAATGCGTATTTTGTTTTGCTTTTGCTCTGTCCTACGTTTTGCCATTAAGTTGTGGGCCCAGGCAGCATTTGCCATCCTGAAGTTCTTCATTTTATTTTTGGAGACGGATACTGGTCCTGAACGCTCTTCCGGCCTCAGCCCCGGCAGTAGCCAGGACTGTGGGCACGGGCCACGGCATTTAGTCCCCAGGTTCCAAGAGCACAGACTCCTGTTTTAGTTTTGAAATGATTTTTTAAAAAATGAAATCCTCTCTGCAGAGCTCGCCAGGCCAGGCCAAGCCAAGGAATGAAATGGATTTTTTTTTTTGGGGGTTCCGTCCAGTTATCCTGCTGTTTCTAGGCGTCTGCCGGAGGCTCCGTGGCTGAGCTGTGGCTGATTCCTTGTGCCGCTTTTAGGTGGTACAAGCCCTTCCAGGTGCTGGAAGGGCTGATTCCTCAGAGCAGGCTCAGGATACGGCCTGACAGCAGAGGAGCAGGAGCGTGGGCAGATGGCTGCTGAAGCATTCATGGTCCTGAGACAATGCACATGAAAGACAGCTGAAGTTTGGGGTGTTGACAGAAGCTTCCAGAAGTGCTAAAAGCTGAGATTCACGGGGGAGAAGAGAGTGACCCGTGACAGGCACTGCCGTGGCCCTTCATTTGTACAGCACTTTGCAGTTGGCAGAGACATTGATTTTGCAAGTTCGCCCCTGAGCCCTGAAACACATCTGTGATGGAGGCAGTTACATATTTCACATTCCACTCAGCGGTGAGAAAACCAGGGCCCAGAGAGGTGACGCGGAGCATTAGGACTTCTGTTTTATGACAAGAGACCAGTGAGGGAAAGGGAAGGGGTTTTAATGAAGCCAGGTTTCCTGCTTCTAGGGCTGGTGCCCAGATCCCGACGGTGGGCGGGGGCTCCTTCTCCCAGTCCAGGAGGTGGTCTTGGGCCAGCAGGTGGGGTGGGGTGGGGTGGGGGACAGGGAGGAGCTCTCCAGTGGTGGCTTGGCATCTCAAAGGCCTGACTCAGCAGGCAGCAGCCTGTCCACCTTGATTAATCGTTCCTCCATATTCCCTGGTACCCCCACATCCTTAGCTGGGGCTGGGGATTACCCACTCCAAGCCCCACACTGGGTGCAAAGCACTTTGTACCCATTTCCAGACCTCACAAGGGCACCAGAGAGGAGGGGATGTTACTTCTACTTTGCAGGTGAGGAGACTGAGGCTTGCATAGGAGATGCTGGTCTGAGGTCACCTAATTAGTGCAAAGCCCCTTTCTTTTTCCATACCCATCCAGTATTGTCAGAGGCTGAGAGAGTCCCCTGAGATCTAGAACAAGAAGCACCATTTTTTTTTTGATCTATGAATAATTATTTGCTCTTTCCAGAGTGTGTGCATTCTTTCTCTCTCTTAAAAAAAAACAGCTTTATTGAGGGTTAATTGATATACAAAAATTGCATCTATGTAATTATGGCATTTGATGAGCCTGGACACATGCACACACCACGAAATACCTCCTTCTCATTTTGCAGTCACCTCCTGTGTGATATTTAATGCGACAACTCTCTTTGCTGGGTTCAGCCTGAGTAACTGCAGGTTCCTGATTAAAAAGCATAATACGCCGGCCAAATGCACCATGGCAGTAGTAATGAATGGACCGAGAATATTAAAACCCTGGAATTTTTTGTTGCATCTTTTTTTCCCCTCTCCCCAAGGGCGAGAGCCAACCCTGGAAGTACTGCAGTATTAACTCTGTCAGGCAGCAGGATTCTGGAAATCTAACTGGGGCTTTTATTGGCAAATACACAGGAGTGAGCCCCAGAGAATCTGTCTGTCCTGCTGTGACTCCCTGGGGACCTTTCATGCCAGCCCCAATCGGCCGGCCGAGCAGCAGAGAAAGGCAAAGAGACGTGTCTGTGAAACGGGGCCGTTAGACCATCAGCACGCGTCCCCAGTGCTCCCTCTGCCTGGGAGCTGTGTGTCACCATGAGGCTAGTCCACACCCAGGGGCTCTTGCTCTGTGTCGGGATCTGTGCTGAATACTTTCCAGATATCACTTATTTAATTTCCATGTGATTCTTTGTGGTGGGTGTAACCATTGTCCCCCTGTTCAGGGGAGGAAACCAAGGTGCTGAGGGACAGAGATGCATAGTAGCCGGCAGTGAGTCTTGACTTCATCCCAGGCAGGCTGACCGCGGGGCTGGAGTTCTCAGTCGAAAACCAAGACTAAAAGTTCAAGTGATTGTTTTCTTACGGCTTTGGTTCTTAACCAAGGGTGAGGATGTTGCCCAGGGGACACTGTGGTTGTCACACGAGGGAGGGAGGAGCACCACTGGTGTGGAATGCGGAGGCCTGGGACACTGTTCAGCCTCCTGCAGTGCATGGGACAGCCCCCCACACAGAGGGACTCACCTTGAATGTCAGCAGTGCCCAGGTGGAGAGAGCCTGCCTCAAGGTCATGTGCTCAGAGCCGACAGGACCTGCATTCTGCATCCAGACTCCTAGCACAGTGCTCATCCGTCACGATGAGGTGGTCCTTTATCACCCTTGGTTTGTGACAATGCAGGGCATTGGCTCTCCACCCAAGGATGTTCCCTGTAACTTTCTCGGGGGACTTCTGCTCTGTCCCCTGATTTAACTCTCTGCTGGTCACAGTGCTCTTGACTCTGTGTCTGTTCTCTGTTTCTCCCAGTGTATCCTGCATTGGACAGTGAACCTTCAAAGGGAGAGGTCAGCACGGTGGTACAGATGATATGTGATGATGGTGATGGTGATGGTGGTGATGGTGGTGGTGATAGTGACTGTGGTAATGGTGATGATAATGGGGGAGATGATGATGGTGATGATGGTGATGGTGATAGTGGGAATGGCTATGGTGATGGTGATGGTGATGATGGATGTGGTGATGATGGATGTGGTGATGATGGTGATAGTTATGGTGGTGATGATGGTGGTAGTGATGATGATGGTATTGACATGGTAATGGGGATAATGATGGTGTTGATATGGTTGTGGGGATGATGGTGGTGGTGATATGGTGATGGTGATGATGGTGGTGTTGATATGGTGGTGGGAATGGTGTTGTTGATGATGATGGTGGTGGTGATGGTGGTGTTGATGTGGTGATGGGGGTGATGATGGTGGTGGTGATGGTGATGGTGATGATATGATGTAATGGTGGCAATGATATGATGACTCTTGTGGACATTAGGAGGGGGTTCTCGGCATGAGAAGTGGATCAGGAGGGTTCTCAAGAGAGAGCACGGCCCGCTGTGCTGTGGCTCCTGAGCTTTCCTGGGGGTGCTCTGTACCTTCCATCCTGTGATCTTCCTTGCCCATCCTCAGATGGTCAGACGCCACCTTTGCCCCTGTCTTGGGACTCTGTAATAAGCCAGTGGCACCTGGTGGAAAGGGAGCCGTTTGCACAGCACAGAGGTTCTGGGCTGGAAGCGGCCTTGTGAGCCTGGCTTAATTTTCCACTGCATTAATATTAATAGGAGTCAGTCTGCTGCGGGTGCAGATGCGGGGGCGGCGCCCAGGAACAAAGGCGACTGGGAGTTCAGCAAGTTGGTGGGGGCGGGGATCTGCAGGAGGCTGCGCTTCCTCACACGGAGCTCAACTTACCCCTCCCTGCAACGGGGCTGGAGCCAGGGACTGGGAAGGTGCCCCCGGGTCTGCCTGTCCTGCTCGGGCATGTCTCAGCCTCAACCCCACGGTCCAGTGCACAGTCCCATGCACGGTTCCCAGGAGGAGTAACTGTCAGAACGCAGCTGGGGATCTTCTAGTGACAGGCGCTCACTCCCTCCTCGGACAGCCATCGTCGCACGGCTGTGAGCTTTGTCACTGGTGACAGGAACAGCAGCAGTGGCCTCATGGGCTGCCGAGCCCTCGGTGTGAGTGAGCACCTCCCGGTTGTGCACGGTGGGTGTGAGGAGGTGAGAGGAGCCTGTACTGATGACGGAGGTGAGGCCGACCTAGTCTAGAAGCTGCCCGCTCAGAGGGAAGGCCGGCGGGACTCCACCTGGCTGGCTCCACCTCCGAGCCCCGGGGGTGTTCAAGCGCATAACTGGGGCACAGGTGTCCAGACTGTGGGGTGAGGTCAATCCAAGCATCTGTGGAGAAGGCTGTCCTCCCTGTGGGAGGCAGTGGGGGCTGGGGACAAGGCCTTGGCACAAGATGACTGAGGATGTGGCATGTCCTGTGTGGCCCAACGTCCCCGAGGCAGGCACTGGCATTGACGTCATTATCTTGGCTTCCCAGTCACCACGTGCAGAAGAGTTTGCAAATTTTTTATCTTGCAGTTCTGAAGGTCAAGGTCTGAAGGGCTCCTGGTGGGCTAGAATCAAGGTGTGGGCAGGGCTGGATCCCTCTGGGGACTCTGGGGGACAGTCTGTTTGCTTCTTTTTTCCAGCATGTAGAGGCCACCTGCAACCTTGGCTGCAAACGTCCATCTCCAAAGCCATCCGGGTAGCATTTTCAAGTCCTTCTCCAGCTCCGACCTCCTGCTTCATCTCCCACCTCCTTCTCTTGACTCTCCGGCCTCCCCTTCCCCTTGTGAGGACCCATGACTTGATTGGGTCACTTGGATAATCCAGGATAATGCCCCAGTCGCAGATCCTCAATCTAATTCCATCTGCGAACTTCTCATTGCTGCGTACATGGACAGAGTCACAGGTTCTGGGGACGAGGACCTGGGCGTATTGGCAGGGGCATGATTTTGTCTACCCCATCGTTTTACAGGCAAGGAAACCCAGGTCCAGAGAATGCAAGAGAGTTGCTCAGAGACGCACAGCTCAGAGGTGGTGGGGGCTGGGATAGGAACCCAGGCCGATTCCTGCCTGGTGATTGCGGCACCCTTCATCCCAGGAACGCTGTGCTGCAGGAATGACCCCCTCTGGAAGCTGCCGGCGGGTGGGACCGAGGTAAGTGTTTCTGGATGGATGCTCTCCAACTTGGAGGTACGGTGGAATTGCAGTTTGTTGGGAGGACGTGTACGGAGGCGCGGGAGTGGGCATCACAGACACACACCTGGGTGTGCAAGCTGACAGAGCTCTGGCCCTGCGGAGTTCACCTTCTGGAATTCAGCCCCAGACCACAGACAAATAAATAAGCAAACGCTAGTGAGTAGAAGGGGATGGGTCCTGGGGGGCAGCCTGGGGAACCACCTGGCTCAGTTGGTCCCTTTAGAAGTGCCCTCCCTGCCTGGCAGGGACCCCGGGCTAGCTCAGCTCAGCTCTCCCAGGACGGATGGCTCCGCAGCAGCAGGGTCTCTGGCAGGGCTGGAAGCTGCCATGGGTCACAGCTGTCACCAGCTGGCGCCAGAGAACACCCGGCTTTGCGGAGGCCACTCTTTCTGGGAGAGAAAGGAGGACATTTCCAGAGCTGCTCCTGGCTCTCCACGGGCCAAGTGCCACGTCCCCAGAAGCTATCTCAGAGCCTGGCACGTCAGCACTTTTGACTTTGCAAATGTCAAGAGAGAGACCACGGGAAGTGGACACTTTCCCGGCTGAAGATGCCCTGGGTCTGACCGGAGGCCAGGGTCTGGTCCTTTCTCAGAAGACTCTCAGGGAAGGGCTTGGGCTTTAGGGTCAAAGAGGCCCGAGTTTGAACCCTGGCTCCACCGTGGGGCAGGGTATCCTCCTCAGCCTCTCTGAGCCTCATCTTGTAGCGCAGGAGGGGACTGTCCATCTCATGGGCTGTGGGGCAAGTGCTGCGGAGTACAGTGGCGAGTCACAGTAGCTATGGTCTAGTGCGGGAGACAGGCAAAAGCCAGGGAATGAGCACAGGAAAAACAAGGAGTGCTTTTTGGGACAAGGCATGCACTGTGCTAGAGTCAAGGGGAACTGGAAACTGCTCTGGAAAGGGTGGCCAGGGAGGTCCCTCTCATGAAGAAGCTTCGAGGTGACACCCGGAGGGTGAGAAGTAGTCAGTCATGAACAGCATGAAAGGAGGGCAGCATGTACCAAGGTCCTGGGGCTGGGAAGAGATGAGCTTGTTCTCGGGATGGATGAAAAGCCGTGAGTCAGGGACATGGGGTACAAGATGAAGGCAGAAGGAGGAAGCGGGGGGCAGTCACACTGTGACTCGTCCCTCACTGTAAGGACCTTAGATTTTATCCTAAGAGGGATGGGCACCACTGGAGAGTTCTAAGGTTTTAAGCATGATTCATGAATTTAAAGAGCACTCTGGCTGCTGGGCGATGTGTGGGTGGGAGGGGGCAGGGGCGAGTGGGGGGCAGGGGCGAGTGGGGAGCAGGTCCTCCAGTTCAGGGGAGGAGAGGAGGTGGCAGGGCCAAGTTGGAGGTGGTGGACCTAGACGGCAAGGTTCAAGCTCCAGATGGGACAGCCTAGACACAGCGTCCAGGGACCCGGCGGCTCTGTGCGGCCCTTTCTTTCAGGAGCAGGTTGCTATGAACTTGATGAGACAGAAGGCAAGGCTGCCGGAGCCTAGACTCTAATAGGAGGGGGTTGGCACCAGGGAAAACAGCGTCGAAACCATTTTGCAAACAAACACATTGAGCAGGAGTCCTGGAAAGGAGACACAACGGGAGGTGGCCAGGGGGCTCTCTGGGGTGCTGGCTTTTGCACTGAGCCTGCAGGAGGACGAATGCATTTCACAGTGAAATTTTTTTTTTTCCTGGCAAGAGCAACTTGGAGTGTTCTAGGAGAGGGACGGCAGCGGGGGAGCGCGGTGCTTGAGGCCAAGTGCAAGGAGGAGCCGTGGGCAGAGTTCTCAGCAGGGGAGGGTCGCTGTGTTAGGATCCAAAGGCCCTGTGGCTGTGCTGGGCGAGAGGCGCGTTCCCGTCGGGGCTCCTGGTGGACGCCCTGGTGCATGTTCAGGAAGGTGCGGCCAGAGTGGGGAGGAGTGCCAGGCCCACGGGGCTGCACGGGGGTGGCCGACTCACCCCGACTCCAGGGCTGCTCAGGAGAGCACACCCTTGTCACCTACAGGCTGCCCGGGCAGTGGAGGTGTGTCCAGCAGGGTGGTCGCGCGGGCTCTTCTGCCCCCAGCCCCTGCCTGCTGGGACACTCCTTCCCATCTGTTTTTGCTTCCTGTGGCGGCTATTTGCAGTGACTAATGTTGCTAATTCTGATCAAACCATTTCAAATGCATCCTTGGCCATATCCGAGACCTGCTGGGGAACAGAAGAAGACATCGTTGGTGGCGATTTCTATGATGGTTTCCGGAAAACAAAAAAAGACATTCAAGTTGGTCTCCATTCAAACGGATGCTCATTGCACCGCCTCCTTTTAAAAATACCGCATCTTGTTCTATTCAATAGCGCTCCGCTCAGAGAGGGGGCCCCCACAGGCTGGCTGCTGGTCCCAGGTGCTGGAAACTCGTGTGGAGGCTGGGAAGGCACATCCCAAGATGTCACCTCTTTCCCACCAGTTCAGTGGTCTTGGAGCCTTAACAGTTAACATTAAAAAGCCCATTTCCAAGAGTTTAAGCTCAGGAAGCCAAATATTGGCAAAAGAATCAAGCCTACCCAAACCATGTGATTTTTTCCCCCTATTTATATTCATGTTCTACTTTTTTTAACTTAATACAAAGCCAACTCATTTAAAAAATTAAATTAATAAACTTTATACAGGAAGCATTATATCAGTCCTATAAATAGAAAGCAATATCACAAAGATGAATCAAATACTAAGTGTAAAAATAAATAGAATGTTTTAGAAAACATTGGAGAGCTTATTTTTCACTCCTTGGGTTTGTCCTACATACGTTTTCTTATTTTTCATATTACTGTGTGGCGAAATGTGCTTAAAAATGGGTAAGCGATTAAAACGCAATTAAATACAGATTTGCAAGTCTTTGACCATTATATAAATATTAAAAAGTGGAGAAGTGAATTGATAATTGAAAAATAGAAGCTTACGTGTAACTACAACAAGAACAAAATAAATGCCAGGTATTAGCCACGGAATTAGGTTCTCAAGTGGACACATTTGCCGAGGGAAGCTCTGGGCCAGGCTCGGGCTTTCTAAGTTCAAAGAGCTCAGGAAGGGTTAGAGAGGACTCAGAGACACCCTCACCCTGTGGAGATGTCTCCTTGGCATCGACTGGAAGGGTTGACAGGGGATAGACAGGGGGCGATGGTTTCACCATGTGACGGGGTGTTCTGTAATACTGGAGGCATCTCAGTAATGTTGTCTACCACCCTTCCGTTTCCCAAGCTTTGGAAAACACTGGTGTGATCCAGGAAGACAAGGTTTTTAGAATTTTCTCCCCTTCTCCCATTTTTCCTCCAGGGATTGGACAAAGGTCTTAAAGCCTCACCGGTCTGCAGTTCCTGGGGTTCTTTCCCGATGGCCAGGCCCAGCATTGCAGGCAGGTAGCATGCGACAAGTCACCACCCTGGAGAGGAACCACGTTCAAACTTCCAAGGATGGTTTCTATTGACCGTTTCCTTTTCACCACTGCAAACTGGAGAAATCTTAAGTCGACCGTGATGTGTGGGGACCATATGAAGGAAGCTCTTCCTCGGGATGCGGTGCATTTCCCTTTTATTGGAAATTTTAATTCGTGAATAACACAGCGGTTGGTGAGCACAGGCTGGGACGGGGCCCTGGGGAGATGAGACCTTGTCTTCTCCCTGGTCCTCCTCCTCGGTGGCCTCCTCCCACGCACCTTCCTGGAGGATGCCACCTTCCCGCCAGGGTGAGGCTAGCCCCAGAGCAGGCTTTACACTCCTTGCCTCTGTCTCCCGCACAGTTCTACTCCTGTGCCCTCTGAGCCAGGAGGGGACACTGGCAGGGGACACTGGCAGCATCTCGTCTGCGGCACAACCTGGGGTAGAGGAGAACGTCTGCAGGGCCCAGTGCGGCTCTCGGCTCATGGTCTCACCCCCAGGACCTGGGAAGCACCGTAGGCGTCACACCCTCTGCAGGTGCCGCCAGCCCCCTGGATCAGCCGGTACTCCCAGCTCCAGGCCTCTGTGCATGTTGGAACCATGTCCAGGGAATTGTCCTGGGCTGCCAGGAGCCGCCTCCCCTGGGGGCTGCTCTGGGGAATAGCACATAGTCAGTGATGGACCCCACAGGTACAAATGTGGACCCTTGAGTCAAAGTCTGGGGAATCCCTGTGATTCAGGGAATGTTCCACAGTCAGGCCAAGGCCAGGTGGACCCGAGGACCCGAGGCCAAGCCCCTGCTCAGCTCCTCCCCGGCCCCCCCCAACCCCTTCTCTTAAGGGCCTTCCCTCAAAACACCCAGCTGAGTTCTGCAGCGGTCACTCGTCTCTGCTTCTGCAGAACTGGACCCGACTGCAGGCCCAGGGCTGGCGCTGGCCGGGGACATCCAGTTGGCTTTCAGGAAAGGGACAAGGACATAAGGGCTTCATGCGAGTTCCTGAAGGGAAGAGAGAGCTGCATTCTCTGCAGGCATGAGGGAGAAGGAAGGGGACCAGGCTCTCGGGCATCCATCTCAGGACCGTCTGAGTTTGAATCCTGGTTGGCAATCTTCTGGCTAGGTGTCCTTGGGCAAGGACAATTTCTGTCCCTCTGTTTCCCCACCTGTAAGTGGAGATACTATTCATGCTCTGTTTATAAGGTTAAGAGGATTAAATGAGATAAATCAAGAGCTTAGAGGGATGCAGGACAGTTTGGGGAGCACTATTTTATATTACTCTCTCACTGCCACATTAAAAATGCAGCTACAGAATGAAGATGGCACCCTTTTTGGAAAAGGATCTTCTGTTTTGAGTCAAAGACCTTGAGTACGTTCATATTCTTTCATCCAGGAATTTCCAAACTTGGAATTTAGCCTTAGGGAATAATCTGAAATGTGGACAGGCTTTTATTCATCCACATCTCATGACAACATTATTTCACCATGGGGGGAAAAAGGGAAGAAGGTCCAACCTCAGGGCGGTGTTGAATCAGTATGTGCGTCATAGGGCTCCCTCCTGCCGGAGCGGGAGGCTCCAAAACAATTCTGCTAAAATGACAGATGCATTGCGGAGGAAAGTGGGGACGCTCAGCTTGGTTTCCGCAGCACAGACTGAGGACCTACTGTGTGGCCAGACCTCTGGCTGTGCGCTGGGGGTGGCAGTGGTGAAGCAACACCACAGAGTTCCCTTTCTCGGGTCCTTTCTGCATCTCTGGGGAGGCAGAACACCTCCTCACCTGGAGGACCCCTGAGACATCCCCGGGAGGCTGCTATTCCAGCGAAGCAAGAGTTAAAGGCAGGCCGGCAGTACAGACAGCCAGGCAGTACAGACAGGCAGGCAGGCCAGATGGGAGAATGGAGGCCAGTTTGGGTCCAGGAAGTTGGAGGCTGTCCTCGAGGGATTGAAATGTGAATGCCTTCAGAGCTCTTCCCCCACCTGCCCTGCGCCAACCTGTTGCTAAGGTAACCTGTCCCAGGAATTGTCCCTCCCCACAGGGAGCTATAACAGCTGTTACTTACGTCCCCTGGGCTGCTTGCTGCCTGGATCACCCCATTTGGCCCTTCCCCTGCCCCTCTGCTTCTCCCCCTTTGGCTGTCCCACCTGGGCCCTCTCTTGGGCCCAGTCACATAAGCAGGAAGGAGAGAGATGAGGGGGAAGAGGGCAGAAGAACAAAGAAAGTCCAGGATGTTTAAAAAGGGCAGGACACGCTCACTTCTTGGGATATAGGATACCAGCCATGGCCCCCTCTCCCTTCCCAGGAGAAGTCTGTGCTACGACTTTTAGATAAACCTGCCGTATATGCTTGCCTGGTGCACTTCTCTAATGTTCAAACTTCAACATGGGAGGAAGCAGGACTCCTCACCAACAACCGATAACTGGGGTATCACCAGCGGCTGTCTCCTTGGGTTCAAGGTCACCAAAAGAAATCAGAGGAATTCTGGCAAAAAGAACCTTGGGAAATTTTAATTATTTTTTTTGATCATCCACCCAGAGGGCCTGCACTCATGCAGTCCTACCTAGGCGGGTGTGTATGTGCGTGAACTTTTGACACAGATCATATAAGCTCTGATATTGTGATGATGTCTCCAGGTACCTCTGGTTCCACCTTCCTATCACCATGGTAACCCACAGACAGAAAGGGCAGGAGGGAAGGCTTTTGATCTCACCTTGCCTGGGGCTTTGCTGCATCCTTTGATATTCCCTGAGACCCATACCATCAGGAAGTCTGCCACTGTGGGTTGAGTATCCCACATTACCTGGATTCTCCTCTTTTGTGGCTTGAGTGCCTACCACAGGGGGGTGATAAAATCAGGAGCAATTCTAAAGTAATTAGCTGAAGGTCACAAGGAGCCATTAGACCAATAGAGGCACAGAATATTTTCCAAAGATGGCTGCGGCATATCTGCTGCCCAGTTGCTGTGCTAGAACTTTACCACCCTCATCAGTGGGTGGAGTCTCTGCTCTCCCTGGGAATCTGGTGACCATCTTGCCTGGCTGAGCTCAGTGGAAGGGTTGGTATGCGACTTTCAAGACTAGGTCATAAAAGTGCCACACACATCTGCCTTGTGCTAGGTCTTGGAATCCAGCCACCATGCTGTGAGGAAGCCCAAGCATGCTCTGGGAGGCCCCTGTGAACAGGGGTTGGGGGCTGCAACTGGGAGTCCTGGCCCAGGTCCCAGATGACAGCAGGGACTTGCCAGCCTTGTGGTTACGGCCCAGTCCATAATCTAACTGCCTCAGTGAGGACTACATGGGATACAGCGAGCTGCTTCCACGGAGCCCTGCCCCAGTCACATAGCTGTGAGTTAAATAAATCATTGCTTTGAGCCATAGAGTCTCGGAAGGGTGTGTGACTTGGCACAAGATAAGCAAAACAAATGCCTGTCCCAACGAGGACATTTTGCCTTGTGGAGGGAGAATGTTCACCGATTTTTGAGCCCTCTGCATGCTCTTCTAGTTCTGTTTAAGATCAGATCTTATGATTCTGAGTAGCTCTCAACGATGACATCTCAACAGATATCTAAACAGAACGAGTGCAGCTGAGAAGTGAGCAGAGGGCAGCACTGGGATCTCGGTGGCCGCAGAGGAAGCTGGGTGTTCGTGAAGAGTCAGAGGAAGGCCTAGAGAAGCAGGAGATGGGGACAAACAGGTCCGTCGGCCCTGCCCTGTCCTGGACAACCCAGGGGGTGCCCACATCGGGGAGCCCACAGCTGGTCCCCAGTGGCACAGTAGACTCTAGTGGGACTGGTTCCTGATTCTGCTTTCCCTGACCACAGTGTGGAAGGCTGTGTGCGGTTTTCAGTTTCAGCATAAGCTGCTTTAGATGGCCACCTCCTCGCCTCCAGCCCTAAGGTGCTGAGTGAGAGAAGCCGTATTACCGCATTACCAGAGGGAATGGCTTTTCCTTATTGCTCCACAGAAGTTCCAGAGGCAGGTTGGCAAGGAAATAGGATCTTTTAAAGCCAGCCCTGAGGAAGTTAGAGACCTTTCCCTCTCTACTCTGTCTCAGGGGCACGGAAAGCTTTGGTAAGGGAGAGAAGGCCCAGCAGGACAGAAGGCAGGAAGCAGAGCCCTGCAGGTTTGGCCAGGCTGTGCTAATCAGAGATGCCAGCCTCCGCCCTCAGCACCCGCCTGGCCAGGGGCGGTCATCAACATTTACGGCCAGTACGAGGAGATGTGAGATGCAGAAGATCCAGGGATCAGAAGTTGCGCTTAATTTCAAAAGGCGCCTGTTTCAGGAGCTCTGGGTTCAGAGGCCAGCTTCCTCCTATGTGGAACAGAGGTCATTCGGCTTTTCCCGTCTCAGCACCCTCATGTGGGCATGGATCCCCAGGCTTAGGCTTAGGGGGAACCCTGTGGAATGAGAAACGACTCATTTCTGACCCCTCCACGAATGTGTCTTTTCAGATTTTTGGGACATTTAGAGTTGGGGGAGACGCAATCTCAGAGTCCATGAGAGAGGCCCCCTGAAGAGGCTCAGGGAGGAGCACTGTGCTGGGTTGTTCAGCAGAGGCCAGCCACTCCATGTGGGGCTAAGATGTCCCCAGGCTGTGGGGTCCCCAGGGCACCAGCCCCAGGGGAAATCTGTGTGTGAGGTCACTATCAGATACTTAGTGGACTTCCGTGGTCTTGGAAATGGAAAGCAATCCTTTCTGCACAGAAATGGGGGTGCCATGCCCAGCTCATGCCCCGTACTGGAGAGGACAGCCCCTCTCCTGAGAATAGAAAGCAGGACAGAAAAGCCTCCTTTAGCCTTCAAGGGGCTCTTTTGTCACTGAGGAATGGAGGGAGGGAGGACTGTGGGAGGGAGCGAATGAAGGAACGCACCCAGGGGGCTCCGGAGTGGACCTGCCCATCATGTGACCCCGTTGGGGACGCCCCGCGGTCCCTTCACTCCAGGGCTTCGGCAGCTGTCCTAAGAGGCCATGTTGCAGGATCTGCTCTTAGTGCAACACAAACAGCCCAGGCCACCCAGTACACAAACCCGCGTCCCAGTCTGTCACTCCAGGGCTGGGTAATCCCAGGGGACCCTTGCTGAACCGCAGTTTCCTTGTTATAAGATGATGGCAGGACCTCTGCCCCAGGACCACACAGACACCAGGAGGTGATGCTGGCAGAGCACCTTGGTCTGTCTCCTGTCCTGACTATGGTGACCACGGGAACTTCCCTTCAGCCAGTTGCTCCCTCTTCTTGCCCCCAGAAGGAGAGCCGTGGCCTGGGGCAGGGGTGGGGGTGGGGGGTGGGCTCGGTGGCCTCAGGGGCTGGGTTCCACCTGCTCTCTCCCCATTCTTCTTGGCCAGCTGCAATTTTTGCTTCTTAAAAAAGAATCGATACCCCATTAGCTAACACCCGTCAGAGCTGCCTCACGCAGGCCGCTGGCCGGGACTTGCGGTGACTGCAGGGCAGAAGCAGCCCCCCTCTGAGGCCCAGGTTGCTGAGCGAGCTGGCGAGCCGGAGCTGGCAGGGATGCTTAGTCCCAGGGCTCCTCTGAGGGATCTCTTGCCCGCAACAAAGAAACAGCTGCAGAATGAAAACTTTGAAGGAATTCATTCATCCAACCGCCATCGATCGGGTTTCTCCTCTGAAGGAGAGTGGACTGGTGCAAACAGGCAGGGGTTGGGACCCTGGGCCGTCCCCGCCCTGCTGAGTAGCTGCTGCGTGCGTGTCTGGCATGCAGAGGGACCAGCTGCAGAGGGGCTGAGAATGGAAGTGCATTTTGATGACGGGCCAGGTGCGTCACCTCTCTGAACCTCCGTTATTCGTACCCTAAATGGGCATAGTGATGGTCCCTGCCCCCGAGA